GGTGTGGGGAGAGGGCAAATCCTGGCGGGTCCGTCTGGGCCATGCAGCCTGCGTTTCCCGTGTGCTTTGTGCCCGAGTGCAGTGGGTGGGGCCTGAGTGTAGTGGGTGGGGCCGGTCAAGGTGACAGTAGGGCTTGGCTGAGAAGGGAGGAGGTGGGGAAACCAGGCATGGTGTGTCCATTTTTATTCTACAGAGGAACACATAGAATATACTCTTGGTCATTTTACATGCACTGTGCAGCATTGCTAACTACGTGCATAGCATTTTCCAGCAGATTGCTAGAACATTCTCATCTTGCATAACCGAGACACCATACCCTTTGAACCACTTCCCATTTTCCCTTATCCCCCAACCCTGAGTAACTATTCTGCTCTGTTCCAACAAACTTGACTACTCTAGGTCTCTCATATGAGTGGAATCATGCAATATGTATTTTTTTGTGACTTAACGTGTTGTGCTCAAGGTTCATCCATGCTCTGGTACGTGACAGGATTTCCTCCCTTCTCCAGGCTGAATAGTATTCCATCGTGTGTTGATAGTCATGCATGGCTTCAGGATGGGGAGACTTCTGGGAAACTCACTTAAAGGTATTTTCACATGTGAGATTTTATAGTAATTGACTTATTTCATTTACCATGGTGCCTTCAAGTTCCATGCATGTGTTGCAAATGGCAGGATTTCCTTTTTAATGGCTGAATAATATTCCACTGTAGATACAGAGTAGTTTCCTCAGCTATTCATCCTTCAATAGGCACATTGTTTAATTCCATGACTTGGCTGTTGTGATAATGTTGCTATAAACATGGAGTGTAGATATGTCTTTGACATAGTGTTTTATTTTCCTTGGGATATATCCCCACAAGTGGAATTGCTGGATTCTATGGTAGTTCTCTTCTTTTGAGGTACCACCATGCTGTTGTCCAAAATGGCTGCACCAATTTATATTTTTAAATTCCCACCCACAATATAAAAGAGTTCTCTGTTCTCCACATCCTTGCCAACACTTGTTATGTCTCATCTAGTAGATGGTGGGGTGATTCCTCACAGCTGTGAGTTGATGCTTACAATGGTTTCGATTAATGTTTCTCTGATATGAGTGATGTTGAGCTTCTTTTCACATACCTGTTGACAATTCAAGTATCTCTGGAAAAATAACTATTCTGGTCTTTTGCTCATTCACAGTTGGCTTAGCTATTTAGTTTGCTGAATTGTATGAGCTCATTATTAACCCCTTATCAGCGATGTGGTTTGCAAGTATTTTCTTTGATGCCACAGATTGCCTTTTCGTTTTGACCTTGTTGCTTCTTCAGGCATCATTCACAAAACCATTGCCCAGGGTAATGTTCGGGAGCTTCCCCTGTGTTTTCTTCTAGGTGTTTGATTGTTTCAAGTCCTACTGTTAAGTCGTTGACCAGCATGGTGCTGGGGTGTCTCTCCTTCCAGTTCCCTGAAGCTGGTTTCTTCCTCTGTTCACAGTGACTCAGGGCAAAGGGGGTGGTGCCTGGAAGGCTGAGACTTCCCTAGCTACAGATGGGGGAAGGGGTTTTGAATACCACAGCTTCGGGCTGTGAATAGGAGCCTCTTCTATGCGAGAGGCAGGTGTCCGACTCCACCCTCCCCATGGTTCCCACTCCAGCTGTCCAGATTGGGAGCCTGAGGCTCGAGCCCGGAATCACCCTCTGCACCCTTCTTGAGCTCTCCATTCGGGCACCCCTTCTCTAGCCCCTGACACTGGCGTTTGCCCAGAGCTGACCGTCACACGGAGGGCTCCACGTGGGGCCTTCCCTGTCGGGCGGGCGGCAGGCCCCGGTGTCCTGTGAACAGTCCCTTTCACTTTCCCTTCCCTTTTCTGCGGGACCCTGGCTCCTGCTGTTTATCTCCCAGGGTTATTCACTGTTCTGATGCAGCTTAGTTGTGAGTCCAGAGGAGTCACAGACAGTCCCTGCTGGCTTCACGTGGTGTGATTTGGCTGGATGCCTGGACTCCCTCTGTGCAGAGAAATTAGACCTCATCTATTGAAATGGAAAATAGATACTTCCTCTACTTGGAAGGGAAGCAGTTGGGGGACTTAACCCACTCCTCCACCTCGTCTTTTCCTGAGTGTCATCACACGCACTCTAGGTGTTATTCTAGCACTTTCTAGAGGATCCTCAGTGCAGACTGTACTTCTCCTTTTGTGTGCGTGTGCTGCTGCGTGGCTCCATGAACACAGAAGTCACAGCCAGCAGCACTAACTGTGCCTGTCACAAATATGCCTGTAAGGAGCATGGAGTAACTCAGGCTCTTTTCCACCCCGCTGCCAGCCCCTCTGGCCGCCACCCTGGCTTTGTTTCCCCCCAGGTTTCATCACCCACACACGATACTGCGCTCTTGCAGGAAAGCACGTAGGAGCGCGAGCACACGCTCCCGCACGTATAGACGCCAGGGCCGAGAGCCTTGGGGAGATCTCAGACATCGGGGGGCTTGGAGGTGCGGTGGCTGCACACCTGCCTCCCTGCTGCTGGCCTGCCGGGGTGTCCAGTCCCTGCGTCAGCAGTAAAGGCGGGTCAGATATACCTCAGGCCCCATTCTGTGGCCGGAGTCAACAGTGTCTGGAACGGGGGGACATTGAGCCCTGGCTTCGGAGAACTGGGTGGAGGGGCTAGGGCGGCTTTTCACTGTAGTATGTATTTTGTTGACTTTTTTTTTTCAGTAGGTGGCCTCCTGTATTTATTTAAAATAAGCGAGGGGTAAATGTCTAGCTCTTCTGCGCGATGGTTCATCGGTATGGTGGCGTTCGCCCTGCGCAGCGCCTGGACGGTCGCTAGATGGCGCCCTTTCGCCCTGCGGATCCGTCCTCGCCGCGGGGGTTTCGCCTTGGCTCAAGGACCAGCTGCAGTGACCTGCATTGGTGTCTTTACAGTCGCATCACATCGGAAGCCGGTTTCCTCCGCTGTAAAATGGGGGCTATAACAGCTTCAGCTCCTGAGGACTAAAGAAGGGGCACGCCCACTGAGCAGGGCAAGACGGTAGCCGTGGCGAGGGGCGCCCGCCAGTGTCCCAGCTCACCGGGTGCCCGGATCCTCATTTATTTCAGTTAAGGAAGAACTGCGCCATGTCTGCAGTTCCCCAGGTGTGAACAGTGACAGAGAATGTTAGGGTCCGAAATCACTCGGTTGACTCCCGTGACAAAGAACAAGAGCAGAGATGCACAAGCATCTCAGCTACCTGAGCCAGATAGCTGGGGTCAAGCTTTCCTGCAGGCACGCAGGCCACACGAGGAGAGCAAGACCCGGTTACATACGTCATAGCTGACACAAATTCAGAGAGTCACAAACTCCAGGCCCCCAAGGGCAGGTTACCCAGAACAGATGTCTCAGTCCGGAGCTGCTATCAGGTCTAGCCTCAGCCGGTTTCAGGAGCTGGCTCCAGGGGTGTTAGCTGCCTGCCCTCCTTTCTGGGCCCAGGGTGAGTCAGAGACCCAGACAGAGGGGCCTGGCGAGAGGGGCTTAGCAAGGTAAGTCTCAGTGCTATGCAGTAGCCACTGCAGCACGAGTTCAGTCCCCAGGCAGGGAGCGACCCACAGGGCGCAGCAGACCTCTCCTGACCCGCCCGCTGCTCCCCTCAGCAGTGTGCCTGTCAGTCAGCCTGTTCTGCGCCCCATTCTGTCTCTGGGGAAGCCTCTCACTACTCCCCTACCCCGCACCTCTGGCATGTACCCCAATACATAAATAACTAAATCTTAAAAAAAAAGAGAATACAGGCCCTCCCTGGTGGCGCAGCGGGTTAAAACGCAGCACTGAGAATCTAAAGCCACTTCCGCATGAGTTTGATTCCCGCCTGCCCCGGAGGTGACCACATGGCGTGGCAGACCTCTCCTGACCCGCCCGCTGCTCCCCTCAGCAGTGTACTTCGTTGATCTGCCTGTTCTGCTCCCCACTCTGTCTCTGGTGAAGCCTCTCACCGCCCCTGAGCCTCTGGCCTGTGCCCCAGTTCTGTATGCACAAATAAATAAATTAAAAAAAAAAGAGAATACAATCATGTTTATCTGACTTTCTCACCATGGAGATTCTCCTAAGGTGTGTGAAGAGCAGAGCCGAAACCCAGTACCCAGTGCCAAGACAACCGCAGACAGATCAACTTGTCTTGCTCATTTTGGACACAGTCACGATGAGACGGGACAGCGTGCCCTCTGCACTTTGCACTGTTTCAGTCTGTGGCCCGCACCCCGTGTGGCCCGCACCCCGTGTGTTTTTACTGGCCGCTGCTCCTCCGCCGTGTGGAGACCATGCTTGTTCATCCATCCGCTGTCCGACGGGCCCTTGAGCCCTCAGAGCGGGCAGCGGCCCTCCAGGGATGGTGCCCGCGTGTTGGTGTGGGCACGTGTTGTTTGCTGTTTCTCCCGGGGCTTTCCTTGGGAGCCGCCTCCTGAATCATCGGCGCCAACTGTGCCGAGCTGGTTGTGGCGGGGGGGGGGGGGGGGTCGCCAGGCTACTGCCAGTGCACAACCCCAGCCCCCACCCACTCCCTGGGCCTGCAGGCTGCTCCAGCGGCTCAGAGCCGTCCAGCGGGGACCTCCTGAGCTGCATTTCCCTGCTGGCTGCTCCTCACTTGCAGCCTCTTTTCACAGGCTGTTGGCTGCTCGTGCATCTTTGGGAGAAACGTCTTCTCCAAACCCTTTGATCACTTTAAACTGGACTATTGCCTTTGTTTCTGAGCTTGAAGACTACGTCGTTTTTAAAGATCTAAACACTGAAAAACTCTTAAATGTGTAAAGTAAGATGCCATGTGTCATATACAACGACATAAAAATTAAAGCGTATTAGGATGCAAGTTCAGATGATGGCGCCACGTGGCGAGAGAAGACCCTGCCACGGTTCCAGCTGACCCCCCAGGCCCCCAGCCCGGCCAGGCCGACCCAGACCTGAAGAAACACTCAGGAAATACAAATTGCAAGAAGTAACAATGTGCTGTGTTGCGCTTATTCCTTCCATCTTCCTACTGGTGGGAAACCTTGACGGGGGCAGCAGACAGAGCTGAGGGCAGCCACAGGCCGAGGATGGCGGACTGCCCTCCACCTGGGCCTCAGGCCTGTCCCAGGCCACCTGCCCACCTGTCCACTATTAGGTGAAACACAGAGCCTGCTGTGTCACTGACACTGTGTGACAGGTCTTCTGTGGTGGTGGCTCTGTGGGACTGGACTCCAGGATGTCCTGTCCCCACTGGGTCTTCACCTCCATGGACAGAGGCGGTCACTCTGAGCATTTCAGGGACTGTGAGGGAGAGCCTGGAAGAGAGAGAAACTTCTGGCTCTTCTCCTTCCCCTGGGCCTGCCCCTTGGTGGGGAGAGCAGCAAGAGGGTGTTTGCTGGCTGGGAAGCTGTTTCGTGCCTTGCAGGTCCACATACTGACAACAGCAGGGTGGGGGGCGGTGAGGCGGCTCTGCCCATGGGTGGCAGCACGGGAGGAATGACTGACTGACAGACGGACTGACGGATGGATGGACTGATGGACGGACTGACGGACGGACGGACTGACTGATGGACAGACTGACTGATGGACGGACGGACTGACTGACGGATGGATGGACTGACGGATGGACGGACTGACAGACGGACAGACAGACGGACTGACTGACGGATGGACGGACTGACTGACGGACGGACTGACTGACTCACAGGCAATGACTCACAGCATCCTGCAGCATCCCAATGAGGCAAGTGTCCCAGATGGAAGGGTTCCCTGGGGTAACTCCAGAAGTTCCTGAGTGATGGGGGAGATGATGGGGACCCCAGGCACAGGCTGCACCTCGGGGCTGACTGAGACCAGGCCTGAGCTGTGCGCTAGTAACTGACCAGGGGATGACGGGTGAGAACTTCTCTGTTCGTGTTGGCCCCAGAGAGGGCAGACAAAAGTGTGATTCTTAGCACTGTGTGGCTTCTGGGCATCTTGCCCTCAAACAGAGTGGGGGCTGTTCTTTCCTGTCTCCAGTTTGAGGCGGGGTTGATGGGAGCGCCTTGTGACTGTTGTTGGGATCCATTCTCTTCCCAGTTCCCCGGAGGAGAAGCCCGAGTGATATATTTTTTTAACCCACTGTGGAAAGATCTGCATCCTTCCTGAGGCCGACCACAGGCGTCCCCTGGAGCAACCACTTGTAAACACAGCTAAACAGTGCTGTGGAGCCAGGGAGTTTTGCTGCTAGGCAGAAGTTTTGCTTATGTCCAGAAGTCTTGGACACTCACGGACCCAACAGAGGCAGAGTCAATCAAAGCTATGAGGCTGTCCGCAGCCACTGCAGCACGAGTTCGATCCCCGCCAGGGAGTCACCCCCAGGGCACAGCAGACCTGTCCTGTCTCCCCGCTGCTCCCCTCAGCAGTGTACTTCAGTGGACCCCACTGTTCTGCTCCTCACTCTGTCCCTGGTGAATCCTCTCACCCCTGTACTCTTACCTACACCGCACTTGTGTAATTCATAAAGACACAGAACAGACTTTCCAAAAAAAAAAAAAAAAAATGAAAGGATAAAAGGAGAAAGACCAGGGACCTCCCTGGTGGCGCAGCGGGTTAAAGCACAGCACTGAGAATCTAAAGCTACTTCCGCATGAGTTCGATTCCCGCCCGCCCCGGAGGTGACCACATGGTGTGGCAGACCTCTCCTGACCCACCCGCTGCTCCCCTCAGCAGTGTACTTCGTCGATCTGCCTGTTCTGCTCCCCACTCTGCCTCTGGTGAAGCCTCTCACCGCCCCTGAGCCTCTGGCCAGCCTCTGGCCTGTACCCCAGTTCTGTATGTACAAATAAATAAATCTTTAAAAAAAAAAAAAGGAGAAAGACCAGCTACAGCCCCAACAATGATTCCAGGCTATGGTAGGTTGTAGTGATATAATGAGCAGCAACAATAGTGAGTAAAAAAAGCAGACTTGGAATGTGTTTTAAGTAGTTATCAACTTAATAGAGACCGACATAGACATAAGATCTTAACAGCAAAGTGGACATTTTATGACCAAGAAGGTTCAACCGTTACGAACCCCCTTTATATACAGGATAGACTCGTCCCACCTCTCGTGCCTCACGCGTCACGAGTGCAATCTCAGGTCAGCCACGCTGCTGAGTCTCGCGTTCAGACAGAAGAGAGCTGACAGTAACTGTCACTTCCAGAAACACCGCTTCATGCTGAATACTCCCCATTGCTTCGCATACTACGCGGATGGACCTTAAATGTCCGCTGACATTTCATTGTTTTCTCCCTGATAGGTGGCTGCTCGTGACCAGAGCAGTCACATGTACAGCGTCTCCCACATGCCACTACAGGTTGGCAAACAAGCTGTGGCCAAGCTCAGCTGCTCTCACGGGCCTGGGGTCACCTGGCTATTTTCGTGCTACAGAGCAGACCTGAGTAGACTGGCAGGACACTGTGTGGCCTGCAAAGTTGAAAATATTTACTATAACGGCCCTCCCTGGTGTGCAGGGGTTAAACCCCCGGGCAGGGAGGGACCCCAGGGCGCAGCATCTCCCCGCTGCTCCCTACTAGATCGCCTGTTCTGCGCCCCACTGTCTCTGTGAACCTTCTCCCCTTGCACCTGTGGCCTTCACCAGTTCTTGTGTGCATACACAAACCTTTTAAAAACATGTACTTTCCAGACTTGTTTGCCAACCTAGAGTTACTGTCCGTTTTCCCGACCTAACTTTTAGACCTTTAGATTTCCGAGCTGGGTCAGCATGTGATTAATGTGCACAAGTGGGCATCTGTACAGATTTATTCAGCAATTGTTCACTGGTTATTTACACCACACAATTTCTTTCCCTATAGCACAGAAATCACAAGTGTCTAGGGAACCAGGGGCCAACCCCAAGCGGGTACCCACAGGGAAATTCAATCATTTCTTTGCCCAGGAATGTGCTGGCCGTCAGTGACCACTGATCACGTGAGGACAGTGCAAAAGGACCCACGGTGGAGCCGAGCTGAGCTCACCACGGCTCCACCTTCTTCTCCATAACAAACTGTCCATGGGGCCCTTCAGCGTCCGAGGGCAGGAGGGCCAGGTAGACCGGGGTCTCTGCTCCTTCTTCTGGACTTTTGGTGGCGTTGGGGCCCGCCATGTCGGTCCTCACCCACCCCGGGCAGCAGGCGTTCAGGAGGATTCTGTCCCCGCCCCTCTGCTCCCTCAGCTTCCTGGCCTGGATGCGGGACAGGACCGTGACCCCGATCTTGGTCACGCCGTAGGCGGTGTTGGGCCAGCCCTCCTTCTGGTGCACCCCGTTCTTGGTGTCTTCCACAAACTTGTTCATGAGCCCCACCAGCTCCTCCTCCGTGATGGTCTCGCTTCTGAACTTCTGCTGCAGCTCGGGGCTGCAGCTCTTGAGGGCCCGGAGACTCACCATGCTGGACACATTCACCACTCTGCCTGCAAGTCAACACGGTTACCCAGAGGGTGTGCACGGCGTGATGGGGCAGAGAATCGATGGGATTTAGCGTTTATTGGAGACTTGGGAGTGCAGGACCTGGCGCCATCTACAGCTTGTCATTACAATGTCTCAGGTGGCGCCAGGGGGGTGATCAAAGGATAAGCGGCCATCGTCTTGCAGGAACAGACTAAGGCGTAAGAGGGGGCGCTCCTGCATTCTTGAGGAGATGGCCTCTGTTCTCCTCACATCCCTGTGGGAGCCTGGGCGTCAGGGAGGTCTGGCTGGGAAACCTGCCGGGGGAAGGCCACCTCGTCAGTGGCGTGCACTGCGTGCTTTCTGGTTTTGGCAACTGTGTTTTGGTCAGCTCGGGAGCAACATCCGGTGTCCTGGCCATACCACCTCGGGGAGGGCAGTGGAGTGGACGGCAGAAGCCCACTACACAAAGGCGGAGCGCGCCTACTGGGTGTGCTTTGGGAGCTCTCTCTGGACTAGGCCACGTAACTATCACGATGCACATGGACACGTGCTATTTCCAGAAAGCAGAGGAGCCAAACTAAAGGGAAGCCCCGAGGGGCCAGGGCCTGGAGACACTCGGGGGCTGAGGGGCGTGAAAGCAGGATGTGCCAGCACCCACCAGGAGGGTCACTTCCAGGGACACTCGGGTCCTGCAGGGGCTGGGCGGCAGCAGGTGCTTCTCTGACGTGGTCACCCAGGGCCACGCGAAGAAGGAAACAAGAAACGGCAGCCACGCAGAGATGGCTGATACGACGGACACCCCCAGAGGCACAGAACCCGGGAGGGTCTATTACTAGCAACAAGAGTTCTGGGGGCTCTGGGCCTGATCCCCAAGGGGCTGGCCCTGCATCAAGATGGGAAGGTGGTCAAATGGGTCACATCATCTGGAGAACAGGCTTCGCACCCCCAAAAGTAGATGCAACCCTTCGCGTAGTGGATCAGGACTGGCAGAGACACTTCACCTGCGTGCACTGACCAGCGACATTTCTCCAGCCCAGCAGACGCACCTTCTCGCCCACTGGTCTGACTCATACGCGACACGAGTGTGTCCTCACAGTCACGAGTGGGCGCAGGACAGACTTCCTCTCCGGGATGCTGGGTGCCATGCACCTGTCTTCTCTCCTGGTAAGGTGGCCCAGAACCCACTGCTCTGCAGACTTGGCAAGAACTGGGAACACCACTCCCAACCTCAGTCAGGATTCCCGGGGCGCCAATGGGGTGGACTTGCCTGCACCCCTCTGGCACCGGGGCCGGACAGCCCCTGGCTCTGGCCCCCCATCAGCCTACCCACTGTGCGCGGGGCTGGATGGAGGGGAAGGGCCATGTTAGAGGAGTCACAGGTACTGGACAAGATGTCCCTGGGGACGGTGAAAAGGTGTGGGTGACGACGACAGTGGGGAGGCGTGATAGTGAGGCTGCGGGAAGAAGACATGAGCTGAACCAAAAAGCAGCCACTCCCCCTGTCAGCTCTGCCCGTCACCGAGAGGTGTCTTTCCCAGGACATTCGGTAGTGCTTCCCAGAGGCTTTTTTTCTCAGACTGTAAAATCTTTGATATCACTGAATAGTTCTGCACAATGTTTTTATGTACGATCCGCAAAGCTGTTGTTCAAGTGAAGAGCTATATTAGCATAAAAACACTGAAATGTATAGCGGGCGTTATATAAATTCTGTTAAGATATTCAATGACCCTCTTGTTATAAAGAGCCTTGGCAAAGGCCCAAGGGCTGGCCTGGACGGGAACAAAGAGCTGCCCCCAGCCTGGCACGGCAGGGAGGTAACCCTGGATTGTGTTGCGTGACAAGAATTTCCTTCTTTCCCTGGGTCAGGCCTTATCATTTATGCTGACCATGAGATTATGCTGGGGCCTCGGGCTGTTATCAGCTAGCCTCTGGAGGGGCTGGACAGCTGGGTCAGCCAAGAGGGCTGTTGAGTGAGGTCCGTGTGGCCAGCCCCCAAGAGAAACACTGGCCAGCAAGGCTGGGGGAGGTTCTTGGTGGTCACTGTGTGGTCACAGCTTTGTGGATCGTCCCAGATGGCTAGTGTGAGAAAGAGCTGCTGTCCACAGCAATTTACGGTGTGTGGCCAGGCCTGGTCCTTCGTTGAGAGGTGGCTTGGCCCATGTTACTGCTGTAGCTGGCCTCCGGCAGAGAGGGTCTCCTACCGTGGCTTTGACCCGCTATCCATTTGGATACAAGGTCATCCCGAGTAAAACAGCTTTGAGTCCTTCTAGTGAGTTACTGAACTTGGTGTTGGGGACCTGCTGGACTTGTGAAGACCGAGAATAGTACTACTAGTTTGGTTCTTTTGGGCTGTAGAAACCAGTTAATGTAACCATGTGTCAACAGACAGAAAATATCTAGCAGACGAGATGCAGGAAAGGACCCTGGGAGTTAAGGGCCTGGGTGTGGTGTGGGATCCTAGCCTGAGTAAGGTCCCTCCAGGACAGGGAGCGGCAGGCAGGCGTGGGTCCGGGGTGGATTATCGGAGCTCACAGTTGAGGACACGCAGCACGGAGGGGCCTCTCTGAGGCTGCAGGAAGACTGGGAGGGTCAGCAAGTGCGGTGTGCAAGGTGTGACACAGCAGGTATGTGCTCCAGAGACACACAACCTGCCCAGTGTGGCTGAGCTGACTGGCGGCAGGACCCGCAGGAACGCAGGAGGCAGGGCCAGAGGCCAGATCCTGCCACCAAAGTGTGGTCCCCCACACACTCCCCTGGGGTTCGCACTCACCTTGGGGTTTTATAAGAGGCAGCAGTTCCGCGCTGACATCTCTAGTTCCAAAAAAGTTGGTTTTCATCGTCACCTCGGCTTGAACATGAAACGGTGTGGGGTCATTCACTTTGGGGAGAGAAGGAGAGCGGAATGAACCCGCGGAATGAACCCGCGGCGGTTGGCCAAGCACCACAGCACGAGAAGAGTGGGCGCAGGTAGAACCCGGTGAACTCGGAGCAACTGGCTTCGCGTTCAAGGTCCCGTCTTGGCGACACTCTGCGTCTGCCACAGGCCAGTTTCGTGAGGTGTCCCCTTGGGGGGGGGGCAGCTGGGTGAAGTTTGCGCGCCTGAGAGCTCTTTGACCTGATTTCGAGATTTTCCCTTTTATTTCAAAACACAAAACTGCCCGACTGGCCTCAAGTGCAGTCCAGACAAACTGCAAAGGTGGAACTGAGCCCAGGCGTGGAGCCTGGTGAGCACGAGGCTCCGGCTGGAAAGCCCTGGAATTCCGAGGGACGCGGCTCCCCACCCCTCCTCCGGCCCCAGGGAGGGGTTCGGGACCCCAAAGACCCAGGCGCCCCGCGATCCCCAGCCGCCCCGGAGTCCAGCCCTTTACCCTTGAAGGCGATGCCCGCGTTGTTGACCAGCACGTCCAGCCCCCCGTACTCCTGGCGCAGGAAGTCGCGCACCGCGCGCACGCTCTGCGGGTCGTCGATGTCCAGCTGGTGGAAGCGCGGGCTCAGGCCCTCGGCCTGCAGCCGCTGCACGGCCGCCCGGCCCCGCGCCGCGTCCCGCGCCGTGAGCACCACGTCCCCCGAGAACTGGCGGCACAGGTCGCGCGCGATGGCGAAGCCGATGCCCTTGTTGGCGCCGGTCACCAGCGCCACGCGGGTG